AAGTCGGGTGCTGGTGGCAAAATGAAAGGGAGTTGCTGGTATTGTGAGAAGGAAGGGCACCCCTGGTTTTTGTGCTATAAGAAACCCGATGGATGGACCCCCCAGAATCGTCACCAGGATGGCGGCGCGCGGAGGAACCAGAAAAACGGCGCCAACATGGTCGCTGATTCGTCCGACAACAACCCGAAGGGCAACGGCGGTGCGGAGAAGAAGAAGGAGCGCACCGCGGGCCAATTCTTCCATGTGGGAGACAAGGGGGAGCAAGGAGACGCCTCTGCCAAAGTTGGAGCAGAGCTGCACCCCCTAGACTATTGGGTGTTGGACACAGGCGCTGCTTGGACGATGACGCCGCGCAAGGACCTGCTGGACGAAGTACGAGCTGCACCGATCAATGAAGTGTGCTCCGCCTCTGGACACATGTTGAAGGTGGCTGGTGCGGGACGAGCTGCGTTTAAGGGAGCGGATGGCAAGCCGGTGGTGCTGCACGACGTTCTCTTCGTCCCCGACCTGAAGGCCAACCTTATCTCCCTCCGTAAGCTTGGCAAGGCTGGGGTGAACACCAACACGGATGGGGCACGCACTTATAAGGGGAAGCTGGGCAATCGGGTGCTTTGGGATCTGCACGAGAGCAAGGACGTGTACAGATCTATGTGGCAGCTGCCGGCCCTGGCGTGGCATGGTGGGGGGCAGGCTGGAGAGGGGTCTGCATCCCAGGGGGAGTGCAATGCCGTTGGAGGGGTTGGTGTGAAAGTGTCGGCCAGATCTGGGGAGACAGATTGGGCAACGGCACACCGGCGCTTAGGGCATGTGGCAATGCCTTTGCTGAAGCAGCTGGAGAAGGATGGAGCCGTTAAGGGTCTGAAGCTGAACGGACAGCCACCCGATTACAACTGTGAAATCTGTTTGCTTTCAAAGTTCACCCGTTTCCCTTTCCATAGTGTGGCTGGCAGGAGCAAGAAGCCTTTGGAGCTGGTCCACATGGACTTGGTGGGGCCGCTGCCGGTGCAAGGGCACAAGGGGGAGCGGTATTTTCTTACAATTGTGGATGACTGGAGCAGGCTGATGTGGGCGTATCCGCTGAAGCAGAAGGACCACGCCGCCTCCACGATACGGGACGATTGGCTGCCATTCGTGGAGAAGCAGGCGGAGTGTGTAGTGAAGCGGATTAGGACAGACCGGGGTGGTGAGTTCCTTGGAGCTGAAATGACGGCCTGGCTCAAGAAGCAGGGCATCCAGAGAGAGCTGACCACGGCTTATACCCCACAGTCCAATGGTGTAGCAGAACGGGCAAACCGGACCATTCTGGAGACAGCTAGGGCGCTGCTCATAGAATCTGGGCTGAGCAATTCTATGTGGCCTCATGCTGTCCGGCACGCCACTGTCGCTAGGAACAGGGTGCTCACCAAGGTTGGGGATGACTCGTGGGTGCCGTTGGAGAGGTGGCTTGGGAGGAAGCCGCCGGTGGACATGCTGAGGGTGTTCGGTTGCATGGCAGTCGCCCACGTCCCCAAGACCTACCGCAGTAAGTTGGGGGCGAGTGCAATCTGGTGTGTGCATTTGGGGCTGGCTGCTGAGAGCAAGGGATGGCTGCTGTGGGAACCATCCAAGGGTGTGTTGTTTGACAGCAGGGATGTGAAATTCATTGAGGACATGATGTATGGGAGCTGGGAGAAACAGCCGGAGGCAAGGGTGTCCCAGCAGATGGAGCAGATCACCATGCAGCTGGACCTGACTCCTAGTGTGTGGGAGGAGGGAGAGGAGGCAGCTGCTGGAAATGGTGATGGAGAGAAGATACAGGAGGCATCTGCTGGTGGAGAAAATGGTGTGGAAACTGGCGGCAGCACTAGTGGAGCTGCTGGACCCGAGGGAGGAGAGAAGCAGCAGGGAAAAACTAAGAAGCCGAAGGGTGTCGTTATGAAGGGATGGGAGACACCCGTCTCCAGGCCAGGACGTACCCGTATGGCTACTAAGAAGCTGACTGCAGGAACTGATGCAGCAGAGCAGCAGCTAGGGACCGAAGAGGCATTGCTGATTCTACCTCATGGCTATGACCCGGATGAGGAGGATGAGCCTGCGTACTGTTTTCTTGCCCCTGCACCAGAGGAACCAGCTAGCATGGAGGAGGCATTAGCTGGACCAGATAGGGACAAGTGGCTGGCTTCTAGGGATGCTGAGTACCAGAGTCTGCTGGAGAATAGGACATGGGATCTGGTGGTGCTGCCTGATGGGAAGAAAGCGATACAATGCAAGTGGGTGCTGAGGATCAAGACCGATGACAAGGGGCAGGTCACCATCTACAAGAGTAGGCTGGTGGCGAAGGGGTTTATGCAGAAGGAGAAGCAGGACTTCAACGAGATCTTTGCTCCCACTGCCAAACCCCCTACCCTCCGTGTCTTGTTGGCAGATGCAGCTGTTAGTGGGAAATTCATCATTCAGATGGATATTTCAACGGCATTCCTGAATGGGATTTTAGAGGAGGATGTGTACATGACGCAGCCGCCTGGGTATGAGGATGGTACGGGCAGGGTGTGCAAGCTCAACAAGTCCATCTACGGCTTGAAGCAGGCGCCACGCTGCTGGTACCAGAAGTTGGCAGCTGTTTTAGAGGAGATGGGATTCAGGACCAGCAGCTGTGATGAGAGCCTCTTTCTCAAGGGCGAGGGGGAGAAGCTGGTGCTGTTTCTGGTCTATGTGGACGACATTCTTCTCTTCAGCAGCAGCATGAAGGAGATCCAGAAAGTGCAGCAGCAACTGATGGAAAACTTCAAGTGCAAGAACCTTGGGGAGGTAAAGTACTACCTCGGGATGCACGTGGAGAGGGATCCAGATCACAGGTGGTTGAAGCTGCACCAGGAGAAGTTCATCAAGGAGCTGGGGGAGAAGTATGGGATTGAGAATGAGCGCAAGGTTGCAACTCCCCTGCCAGCAGAATTCAAGCTTGTGAAGGCTGCAGAGGATGAAGGGGTTGAAGCTGAAGAGCAGCAGCAATTTCAGTCCTTGGTGGGCAGCCTCTTGTACGCAGCAGTTCACACGAGGCCCGACATCTCTTTCTCGGTTGGGCAGCTGGCTAGGGTGGTGCAGAATCCATCAGAGGAGCAGGTGGATGCAGCTGAGCGTGTGGTGAAGTACCTGAACTCTCACCCAAGCATTGGAGTTCAATACTCCGCATCTGCACAGGTGAAGCAGAAAGGGGTGGAGGTGCTGAAAGAGAAGGGGGAGAGGCTTGGAGAAGGCAAGCTATTTCTCACTTGCTTTACCGATGCTACATGGGCTTCTGAGAAGGAGGATTCCTCATCTGTGGGAGGATACATCTGCGTAGTTGGGGGAGGACCTGTTAGTTGGAGGTCCAAGAAGCAGACGGAGACGGCACTCTCTTCCGTAGAATCAGAGTACATGGCGATGTTCCATGGGGTGAAGGAGGTGATTTGGCTGAGGAGGCTGTTAGAGGAGATTGGCCAGGAGCAGAAAGTTGCTACGCCGCTGTTTTGTGATAGCAAGGGGGCTCTTGGGATGGCCAGAAACGCTGTGCTTTATGGGCTGAACAAGCACATGCGTATCAAGTGGCACTGGCTGCGTAAGGAGGTGAAGAGGGGGACGGTGCATCCGATCTACATCAAGACTCACCAGCAGCCAGCAGACTTTCTCACCAAGAGGCTTGCGGATGAGCCTCATTGGCGTTGTGTGCGCATGAGTGGAATGAGCATGAACTAGCATGGAATGATGGGGATGCAGCCGGCAGGCTGAGGGGGAGTGTGTTGGGTGCAAATTTACATTGCACGACATCCTGCCGTCTGTTTGTACGAGTATGCGTGTGCGAATGCATTTGGGTGTGAATGGAATGTTCGTGTGTTTGTTTGCTTTCGCAATTTTCGCTTGATGCATTTGCAGGTACTCGCGCAATGTGCGCTTCGGCACAACATTGTACGCGCTATGAACAGTGCAAGCAGAAAGGACGAGCTCGCAAAGGAACCCAAGATGGAAGCTTTGCAGTTCGGTTGAGTTGATTGCGCAGATTCAGTTCTATCCAACTCGGAATTGTACTGTTTTGTTTGGTTAACTATAGTGTAGCAGGGAAGGCACTATAGGGGTACAATTTAGGTGAAGGTTGGATGTTGTTTGTCTGTATCTGCATGCTACAAGGCCAGGGGAAACCAGCGGAACCAGCATTTGGCTGGTTGGGCAAAGACAAAACAGGTTCTGTTTTTAGAACCTGAACCTGGTTGTTGTTTTCCCAGGTTGGAAAAACAGAACCAGAGGTTGTTTACCAACCTACCACCTGCTATTTTGTCCAGCCAGGTTGGTTCTGTTGCTTGGAATTATTTGGGATCATCCCTGGTTGTTCCCAGGTTGATTCCCAAGGTCCTTGCTAGCTAGAACTATTTAATCCTTCTCTGTTTGTACCTGAATATAGTCAAATTGATTCAAGCGAATTCCTTCCTCGCTGGAATTTCGTTTCTGCGCTATTCGACGGCGGAATGCTACCCGAGTCAACGCTAGTATGCTAGCACTCCAACGCTAGGCAAACGCTGTCCGAGCCATAACTTAGTAATGGCAGAACTTTTCGCGAGGCAACTTGGCTCATTTTAAAGCTCTTGGAGCGAGCTTCGATATAGCGAATTCTCAGCTTAATCCGATCGACGGTCTGCACGGCACGATGCGCGACGTTCAAGGTACTCTTGCTGTTTTGACTAAGTCCTTCTTGATCCCTCTCTCTACAAACTCGGACCCAAGGATAGGGGCTGGTCTTGTACCAGGCACCCAGGGACCCTTGGAGGTGACCCCGAGGAGAGGTTTTAAGTTTGATTAAGTCCTAATAGCTTGAGTTTATTAGGCCCTTACACCAACACAGTCAGGTTGCTGTGTCCGGTCTAGTTGCTGCGTCTGGTCAGGTCCCCGCGTCAGGTCCAGTTGCTGCGTCGTGCTCCTGCCGGTCGCTTGCTCACCCCACCGTTCTGTGGCACCACCGGATGGGGCACCCGTCCCTCCCTCGTCTCCGCGCTATGTCCAGTCAGCGTCTTGTCTTAGGCCTCCCCCGAGTCCTCCCGCCGCTCCCGCCGTCCCCAGCTCCTCCGTGCGGTCCTTGTGTCCAGGGTCAGCTGCGCGCCACCCCTCACTCCTCCTCCCTTCCCCCGGCCACCGAGCCCTTCGAGACACTCCACTTAGACGTCTGGGGCCCCGCTCGCCGTCTTGGCCCTGAGCGGGAGAGTTTCTTTCTGGTGGTCGTTGACGATTACTCTCGGTACACCACCGTGTTCCCCTTGGCGAAGAAGTCCGACGTGACTTCTACGCTGATCCGGTGGCTGCTCGCCACCGAGAGTACTCGTCGTCGTCGTGTCAGTTGTCTCCACTCCGACCGTGGGGGTGAGTTTCGCTCCGGCATTCTCGCCAGATTCTGTGCTGAGCAGGGCATCACCCAGTCCTGGACTCTTCCAGACTCTCCACAGCAGAATGGGGTTGCTGAGCGCCGCTTAGGCCTGGTCATGGAGATCGCCCGCACCTCCATGATCCACGCCCGCGCGCCCCATTTTCTGTGGCCCTACGCGGCTCGGTACGCCGCTCACCAGCTGAACCTCTGGCCTCGCGTCTCTTGGCCAGGGGCTTCACCGACCAGTCTTTGGACAGGGTCCCCTGGTGTTGCGTCGAGGTTTAGTGTCTGGGGCTGCTTGGCTCTTGTTCCCGACACCTCTGCGGACAAGATCTCGCCTCGCGCCATCCCCTGTGTTTTCTTGGCTTCCCAGAAGACTTCTCTGACTTCACCTTTTACCACCCTCCCTCCCACCGGTTCTTTGACTCTCGTGACGTCCGTTTCGACGAGTCCGTCCCCTACTACGTCAGGTACCCCTGTCGAGGTCTCCCGGTTCCCCCCCCTCCCCTCTTCCTGGCTCCAGCTCCTCCTCCTCCCGCCCCTGCTCCTCCGGTACCCCCCCCTGTTCCCGCTCCGTCTGGTGTGTCCCACGCTACTCCCCCCCCCTCGGTACCCCCCCAGGTCTCTCCTCCTTCCCCACAGTCGTCCTCACAACCTCCACAGCAGCCGTCAGCGCTTCCTTTACCGGCCACTGCGGACTCTGAGGGTGTTGGTGCTCGAGGTGAGGGCTCTGGCGGTGCTCGTTCTGGGGGTGTTGGCGTTGGCGCTGAGCGTGCACCTGCCGCGGCTGCCCGTTCCGAGGGTACTGGAGCTGGTGGTGGTACGGGAGTTGGTGGTGGTGCTGGAGCTGGTGGTGTTTCTGGAGCTGGAGAGTCTGGGGCTGGTGCTGGTGCCACTGGAGGCACCACGACTGGGGGTGCGGGTACACCTCCTACAGGTACTGGTCGTGCTGCCGCAGGGGGTACTCGCTCTGGGGGTGCTCAGATGGGTCCTGTCGAGGGTGGAGGCGGTTCTACTTCGTCGTCTCCTGCCACCACTCCTCCTCCTCACCCCTACCCGACTCGACACCAGGCACGTCTTTGTCTTGCGCGCAAGGAGCAGCAGCGTGTGGAGAGTGAGAGGTTGGAGGTTCAGCAGCGGGTGGAGCGTGAGAGGTTGGAGTTGCAGCGAGAGCAGCAGCAGCAGCAGCAGCAGCAGCAGCAGCAGCAGCAGCAGGGGCCGCCGCTGCAGCAGCAGCAACAGAAGCCGCCGCCACACAGCAGCAGCAGCAGCAGCAGCAGCAGCCGCAGCAGCCGGAGCAGCCTCCGGCCCCTGTTTCTGGCCTTCGGGCCCTTGGTCTCCCCTCCTCTCGTCCTGTGTTCGGTCCTACGTTTCCTCCTCCGGACTCAGCTCCGGCTGTGTTCCCTCGTTCTCAGTCTCCTCCGTCTCCCCCTCCTCTCACCCACACTTGGACCTCTCGTCCTCCTCGTGCTCGTCCCTCGTCCCCTGTCACTGACCTCCGTACCGCCTTGTTTCGTTCTAGTCCTCCTCGTCCTCCTCAGTCTGTTCTTCCTCGTCCTCCTGAGTCGTCCCTCACTGCCTCCCTGTCCACTCCGGTCACTGACTACTACCGCACGTACCGCCCCACTCTCTCTCGTGTTCTCACCTCTCTTGCTACGGACCCACGTGCCTCTCCATCCTCCGTCACGGTCCTCACTGTCGCTGTCACTGCCTTTATTGCTACGCGTCGCCTTGGCTGCGCCACTCGTGTTGTGGCCGCTCCTCCTGTCCGTCCTCCTGTCCGTCCTCTGTCCGCCGGGGGTGAGTCTGCCCTTGGCTGTGACGTCCTAGAGGACAGACAGTTTGAGCTAGAGTTCCTGGCAGCTGCTTCGCCTCATCTCTGTGCCATGCTCCTCGCTCCTGAGGGAGACCCCGACGCTCCTGACATACCTACTCCTCGCACTTACGCTGAGGCAATGTCAGGGCCTTGGGCCTCTCAGTGGAGAGCTGCCATGGACGCAGAGATGGCCTCCTACAGGTCCACAGGCACTTACGTTGACGAGGTTCCCCCCCCAGGGGCGAACATCGTTGACGACATGTGGATCTTCAAGGTGAAGCGGCCGCCGGGATCTCCCCCAGGCTTTAAGGCACGCTACGTGGCTAGAGGGTTCAGTCAGCGTGAGGGAGTTGACTTCTTTCAGACCTTCCAACCACCCCGAAGATGACCACTCTTCGGGTGTTACTGCACGTAGCAGCGCAGAGAGACTACGAGCTACACTCTCTTGACTTCTCCACTGCCTTCCTCCAGGGCCGCCTACACGAGGAGATCTGGCTGCGTCGTCCTCCGGGCTTCACTGGCACTTTCCCGCCTGGGACCCAGTGGAGCCTCAGACGACCGGTCTACGGTCTCCGCCAGGCACCCCGTGAGTGGCACGACACTCTCCGCTCTACTCTCTCCGACCTCGGGTTTGAGCCGTCTTCCGCCGACCCGTCGCTGTTTGTTCGTCGTGGGCGCACACCTTTCTTCGTTCTCGTCTACGTTGACGACCTGGTTTTTGCCACAGCCGACACAGTTGCACTGGCGGAGGTGAAGTCCGAACTGCAGAAGAGACACACCTGCACTGACCTTGGGGAACTGCGCCGCTACCTTGGCCTGCAGATCTCCAGGGACAGAGCCGCTCACACCATCACTCTGACTCAGTCACACATGGTGCAGCAGGTCCTTCAGCGGTTCGGGCTTCAGCACTCTTCTCCTACACCCACCCCTCTTGCTGTAGACCACAGACTCACTGGGCCTTTTCCTGACGAGCCGTTCGAGCCCAGTGGTCCCTATGCAGAGCTGGCGGGCTGCCTCATGTACCTGATGACGTGTACTCGCCCGGACCTCGCTTTCCCTCTTAGCATCCTTTCTCGCTTTGTTGCGACTGGGAGACACCGTCCTGTTCACTGGACGGCGGCTAAGAGGGTGGCGAAGTACCTCGGCGCGACATCAGACATGGGGCTTGTACTTGGAGGGACACAGCCAGTTGTACTCACCGGTCACTGCGACTCCTCCTACGCCGACGACGTTGAGACTCAGAGGTCTACACAGGGTTACTGTTTCAGCCTGGGCTCTGGAGCTGTTTCGTGGAGGTCTACTCGGTCCTCCTGCGTTGCGACTTCTACCGCAGAGGCCGAGATCTACGCTGGAGCCCTTGCTGCACAGGAGCTACGCTGGTTGACCTTCTTGCTCACTAACCTTTGTGAGCGGCCGAGCTCTGCACCGACCTTGTTTGCTGACAACAAGGCGATGATTCTCCTGTGTCGTGAGCCTCGACTGGAGAGCAGAGTGAAGCACATCGACGTCAGGTACTTCCTCCTTCGAGAGTTGCAGAGACGCGGACAGGCTCGTCTGGACTTCGTGGCCTCCGAGGCCAACACTGCAGACATCTTCACCAAGGCTCTTCAGCCTTGTGACCACCGCCGGTTTTGTCTGCAGTTAGGTCTCGTTGAGACTGGGTCTAGTAGACTGTGGTAGTGATTTCTCGCCTCTTGTGTGTGTTACCATATATAAATTAGCTTGTACTCTCTTGAACTGGCCTTGTGGCCCCTTGTTTGTGCTCAGACTGTGTGGTGACATTGTGATCCACCCTAAGCTTTGTTTCCTCTCTTGCTTGCGATTGGTCTTGTGACCTTAGGTTGCGTTTCTTGTTGCTTGGCATTCCCCACTTAGGCTATGGGGGTGTGTCAAATGTTATAGCCTTTAGTGGGTCATGCTATATGGGGCACAAACAATTAGGGTTATGTATTTGTACCCCAACACAATCAATGCAACTCATTCCGCTGTGCTTAGTTTCTGAGATAGAAATAGTAGGCAGGCAATATCATGGCTTGCTGGTACGTATTGGGGTGAAAGCCTGAAATTGTTGATGTGTTTAAAGAACTTATATTTCGACGCAGTTAACTGCGTTCACCAGGTGTATAATATATGTAGTATACTAGGTTACCGTAATATGAAACATATGTTTATGTTGTGTCTTCAGCTGTAACTAGTGTGCACATAGAGTTGAAAATGATATTTGTGAGAGTACGACGGCTTTGCTATGATTTACTAGCTTGATTATGCTTTATTATGCATTATCTAGCTTAGCTTTGCTTTATTTTGCTTGCTTTTGCTAGATTTCCTAGGTTCGTTGCTTTACTATATTTATTATAGTTATAGGCACCGAACTAGGTTGAGTGCACCGAATTCTAGGCTTTTCGGTTGCCACCGAATTGCCTTCTACCGAATTTGGGAAGGACCCGTTCGGGACGCTTCGCGACCCGCGGAACCTTCTAGTAACACCCGGGTTACTGCCTTTGTGTCGAGCCTATATAGCCTCACCTTGTTCCCAGGTGCATGATTCAATAGTTCAATCTTTCCTGAACCAGATCCTCACACTTGGTAATCAGAGCTTGTTTACACTTGGTAACCGCGGGGGCGACGACGAACGCGCCGATACGGGTATGTAAAACCAGTTCCGCGCGAATTTTTCTATGCCCCCTCGATTCGGTTTTGAACACCCCTCAGGAATATTGGTGAAAAGGTTGGAATTTCAACCGTTCGATCGATTCGAATCTCAATGGCCCAGAAATTTTCGCCCAGAAAAGTTGGAATTCGGAGCGTCGGATCGAGTTTTTCTTCAACGGCCCAGATCGAATGCGAATTTCGCCTAGGGGAGAATTGCGCGACCTACAGAATTCGCGCTCGTCGATTTTACAGTCGATTCGACTCGCAGTAAGTCGACCAGCACACGTAATTCAATTATTTTCGTCGCGCATCTTTCTGTAAATCGCCAATAGGGAGGGAAATAGAGATTTCTTTATACGAAAAATCGCGGAGTTACGTGCTGAGCATAAGCAGATATTTGCGGCGCTCCCACGACTCGAAAAACTCCTTGCGAACCAATCGGTAGCTTCAGCAGCAGCAGAAGCGACGACGGCGACACCGATAATTGTACCTGCGACAACGGCAGCAGCTACATTTAATCTCGAAGCAGTAAAGCCGAGGCGACCAGACGCGTTCGATCCTAGAGCGAAAGGGAGCGACGTCCGTCGATTTGTAGCTGTACTAGAAAATTTCTTCGAAGCCGTTGGATGCACGACCCTCAACCAAGACGCATTGCGCATACGGCTCGCAGCAACACTGTTACGAGGCCCAGCTCTAGAGTGGATTAGCAATAGATTTGTCCAAGGCGAAGAGACGTGGGCGCAGTTTCGGGCAGCACTGATCAAACAGTTCAACGCGATGAACGGTAGCTACTACGGAACACGACGCAACAAGCCAAATAGTGGCATGGAGCGATTGGCACCACCCACGACTGCCGACCCGATGGAGAACGACAAGGACGATGCGACGCAGCGGCTAGCAAAAAATGAGATGTGCGATTTTTGCGGCGCTACAGGACATCGTATCTTGGCGTGTTGGAAAATGAAGAGAAGCCGTGCGGAGCTGAGGGACAAGAACAGTGTGGCACCCCCGAAGCAGAAAACGGACAACGTGGCAACTTCGGAGAGGGCGAAAAAAGGAGAAAATGGTGGCGCGAATTTAAAACGTCACGACCAGCCGGCTCCAGGGGAAATCGCCGAGACAAAAGGAGACTCCGCGAAACAAGACCCTGCACCGACCGGGAAACTCCAGCCGTACACCTCGACAAGTAAGAATTCGTTGAGGTTATCCTATAAAGATACTTTAACTACGAATATTACTTCTTGCGGTTTTCAAGCCTTTATTAAGGGAGAGTCAGAAATTAAACCGGTACCGGGTAATATGGGGACCCTACTCCGGAGCGCTAATAAGGGTCGAGCGTTCCGAGGAGTTAATATTCTCTCCCAGCAGCCCTGTTCAAAGGCTCCCGGCCGTTCCCCACAGGAGCCTACACAGCTGCAAAGGCTTAGGGGAAGGTTCCAGGCCCTAGAGAAGCTGAATCGGCCTCGGATAAATCCTTCTAACCCTGCTCAGTTAAAAACTGATATGGAGTCAGCATGTGAGAGTACGACGGCTTATGCTTGTTATTCATGCTTGCTTTTATTACCTTACGCTACTGCTAGCTTAGGTTTAATTTCTGCATGCATGAATTGCTTGATTCCTAGGCTAGGTGCTTTCCTATATTTTATATAGTTATATGCACCGTGCTAGGTTACACCGAATTCGGAGCTATTCGGTTGCCACCGAACTGCTTTCTACCGAATTCGGGAAGGGTCTGTTCGGGACGCTTCGCGACCCGCAGAACCTTCTCGTAACACCTGGTTACCTCCCTTGTGTCGAGCCCTATATATAGCCTCGTGTTGTACCCAGGTGATCAATCAATTCTCATTCTCGATTCTGAACTCGATCCTCGATCCTCACACTTGGTAATCAGAGCTCGTTTACACGCGAAGTTCTTTCGACCGCTAAAAAAAAAGTCTTTAAAAAACCGCGGGGGCGACGCAGTTAAACATCGATTTCGGGTACGTAAAACCGGTTCCGTGTTTTTCCGCTCCTCCTCGATTCGGTTTTTCGGACGCGTAATGTCAGGCATGGAAGGCCAGGGCGACAACTACGCGACAACGAGCGACGTCGCGAGCCTCCGCACCGACATGGAGCAGACGCAGGCGACGCTTCGTCGACTCGAGACGTTTCTGACAAGCCATCCGGCGCTCGCCACGACAGCAGCAGCGACTGCAACGACTGCAGCACCGACAACTCCAGCAGCAGTGGCGACACCGACTTTTCACGGACCGATGGCACCACCGACGCCGAACCTTGAAGCAGCACGACCGAGGCTCCCGGAAGCGTTCGATCCAAGCGCGAAGGGATCCGACGTCCGGCGTTTCGTGGCAATCCTCGAAATTTACTTCGAGGCCATTGGCTGTTCGACCCCGACACACGACGCGACACGAATCCGGCTCGCAGCGACACTGTTACGCGGACCAGCACTCGAGTGGATCTACAATACTGACGTGGCCCGCGGGGAGAAAACGTGGGCGCAGTTTCGGGCAGAATTAATCGGGCGTTTCGAACCAATTAATACCACCTACATGGCGCGGCAACAAATTCATCGGCACAAGCAGTACAGTAGTGTAGCACAGTACACGCAGCAGATGGAGCTCCTGTTCACCCGCATCCCCGACCTGACCGAAGGCGAAAAAATCCAGGCGTACACGGAAGGGTTAAAATTGGAGATTCGGCGGCAGGTGATCGCGATGAATTACGACAGCTACAGGGACATCGTGCGTGCAGCCGAGCGTTACGATGCGCTAACACGAAGTCAACCCGAAACACGACGTTTCGGGCCGAACCGTACATTCGGCACGGAGCGATCGGCACCCCCCACGTTCGCCGAACCGATGGATATCGACAAAATCGACGCGAAGCAGCAGCCGACCAAATGCGAATTTTGCGGCGCAGCAGGGCATCAGATTTTGTCGTGCTACAAAATGAAGAAAGTACGTGCGATCATGCAGGGCGGTAACAGTGCAGCACCCCCGAAGTAAAAAAACGGGAATCGCCAGTAGCCGCGGATTTAACTGGCGATCGCGTAAAGATCCGAAAAGCGAAAAAGGGCGACGACGTGGCGACTACGGAGCGGGCGAAAAAAGGAGAAAATGATGGCGCGAATATAAAACGTCACGACCGGCCGGCATCAGGGGAAATCGCCGAGGCAACTGGTGGCTCCGCGAAAAAAGACTCTGCACCGACCGGGAAACTCCAGCCGGACCCCCACGAAAGTAAGAATTCGTTAAAAGTATCCTATAAAGATACTCTAACGAAAAATATTGCTTCTCGTGGTTTTCAAGCCTTTGAAAAATTCAGGGGAGAGTTAGAGGCCAAGAAAAAGCCTTTAGAAATTATTCAGGTACCTACAAATATGGGCAAAGTATTACGGAGCGTAGAAAAGGGTCGTGCGTTCCGTGGTGTTAATATTCTCTCCCCGCAGCATGGTGTTAAGGCTCCCCGTTGCCCACAGGTGAAGCCTACACAGCTGCAAAGGCTTAGAGGAGACATCCAGGCTCAGGAGAAATTATACAAGCCTCGGAAAAATCCTCCTACCCCTCAGGTGAAGTCAGAAAGTGCTGAGTCAGGTATAGGAAATAGGGAAGGTATTCATTTTGATGTACCCTATGATCCTATTAATGAGACCCTCTTTGGCTACTCAGCGCAGCAGAAACCACTACTCCTTGAGGTGTTATGCAATGGGCGACGCCTCCAGGCAATGGTGGACAGCGGTGCATCTCACTCAGTATGTGACCGCGGAGCATTGGAGAAAATTGGAGAGAAGGCGAAGAAGACCCAGTTTTCAGCAACCATGGTGGACGGTACGAAGCTTCCCATCCACGGCGAAGCAACCTTGCAGCTGCACATAGGTGCGTTGAGATGGAAGCCGAAGCTACCTGTTACCAACATCAAGGGTTTAGATTTCATCTTGGGGCGAGATTTCCTGAAGCGGTTCAACCCCGAGATCGACTGGGTCAACAGCAAAGTGTGCATCTACAACAACGGGGAGCGGATAGCATTGCGAAGCTGGACGGATACAGGGGACATTCCTGAAACGACACTGGCACGGTTCGAACAGACGGTGAACGAGAGCAACACGGGTTACTTAGCACTGGTCATGGCAGCAGCAGAAGAGGTGAAACCGGGTTCCGAGCTACCCGCAGCAGTGAAAGAGGTCTTGGAGCAGTACAAAGACATCATGCCCGACGACCTACCTACAAGCGTACCTCCTGCACGCACCCACGAGCACGAGATCGTGGAGGAACCAGGTGCGAAACCCGTCTCACGCGCACCATACAGACTGAGTCCGACCGAGCTGACAGACATGAAAAAACAGATTGAGTATCTACTGGACAGACAACTGATCCGACCATCCACCTCTCCCTACGGCGCACCAGTTCTCTTCACACCGAAACCAGACGGCAGTTTACGAATGTGCATCGACTACCGCGCACTAAACAAACAGACAGTCAAAAACAAATACCCCATACTGCGCATCGACGACTTACTGGACCAACTGCGTAGTGCAACAGTCTTCTCGAAGCTGGACTTACGGTCGGGTTACTGGCAGATCAAGATGGCGGACAATTCGATCCACAAGACGGCGTTCCGTACGCGATACGGCTCCTACGAATACCTGGTGATGCCGTTCGGACTCTGCAACGCACCAGCGACGTTCCAGGCGGAGATGAACCACATCCTACGGCCCCTGTTGGACGAGTGCGTAGTAGTGTACCTGGACGACATTCTCATCTACTCCAAGAACATGAAGGAGCATGTGGAGCATCTGCGGAAGGTGTTCGAGATCCTGCGAAAAAATAAGTTCTACGTGAAGCTGTCGAAGAGCGACTTCGCACTGGAGAAGGTGCAGTTTCTCGGGCACATGGTGAGTGCCAAGGGCGTACACGTAGACCCGCGGAAGATCGAAGCTGTTAAAAAGTGGAAGGTTCCGGAGAACGTGAAAGAGTTGCAGCAGTTCCTCGGCTTCGCCAACTACTACAACAGGTTCATGCCGCAGTACGCTAAGATAGCAGCGCCACTGACCGACCTACTGAAAAAGGACACGCCCTTCAAATGGGGTGCTCCTCATCAGCAAGCCATGGAACAGCTACAGACAGCACTGACCACAGCGCCAGTACTCATCCTACCGGACCCTGACAAGGACTACGTAGTTGAAGCAGACGCTAGTGACCAGGCAGTCGGAGCAGTACTGATGCAGGATCACGGGAACGGTTTACAGCCTATCGCCTACCTCAGTAAGAAACTGCACGGAGCAGAACTGAATTACCCAATCCATGACAAGGAGGCCTAGCTATAGTCGTAGCCTTCAAGGCATGGAGGTGTTATCTAGAGGGAGCCAAGACCACAGTCTATACTGACCACTGCAGTCTCAAATACCTGAAGTCGCAGCCGACACTTTCACGACAACAGGTGCGGTGGGTGGATTTCTTGGAAACTCACTTCCACTACGACATCGTCTACAAACCCGGGCTCCACAACAAAGCAGACGCGTTGAGCCGCCCAGGTCATGTAGCAGGCATCCAACTCGACGGGATGAACCCTCTGCTCAAGGGTCTATTCCAGCATGGATACTCCGTGGACGGCGAGATCGCTACAGCAGAGAAACAGAAGCTGTTACAGTAGGAAAAGAAAGACTTAGCGGTAAGGAAGGGTTCAGGGAAGATTTGGGTACCGAACTACGCCCCGCTACGGCAGATCCTGTTAGAGGAGTTTCATGACGTACCATACGCGGGACATTTCGGGAGCAACAAGACGTTAGCGGGTAGACGTGCAGCAGTTCGTCACCTCTTGCGACACGTGCCAGCGGATGAAGAGTAGTAAGCAGAAGAAAGCAGGGTTACTTCAGCCTCTACCCGTACCGGAGCAACCATGGCAGGTCGTTAGTCTCGACTTCATCACAGGACTTCCTTCGACCTCACGGGGACACGATTCCATCCTCGTAGTCATCAACAAGTTCTCAAAAATGGGTCACTTCATACCGACCAACGCCACAGCCACAGCTGAAGCAACTGCTCGCCTCTTCTTCAACCGCATCATCACCATCCACGGCATCCCCGCTACACTCATCTCAGACAGAGACCCAAAATTCACGAGTAAGTTCTGGAAGGAGCTTATGGGACTGTTGGGGACTAAGCTTGCGATGTCTTCAGCATACCATCCCCAGACTGACGGACAGACAGAGCGACTCAATCAGGTGGTTGAACAGTTACTGCGCACAGCTTGCAAAGATAACGTCAGCCACTGGGACACACAGTTACCGACCCTAGAGTTCGCTTACAACAACGCCTCGCATGCGGCCACAGGGAAAACTCCTTTCTTCCTGTGTTACGGACGGGAACCACTCACCCCACAGCAGCCAACCACACCGGCACACGTCCAGGCCGCACACGACTTCGTCACCACCATGCAGCAGCTATGGGAGAAGACTCAGCGGCGTCTCACCACGATGCAGAACTCCCGCGACGAGATCACTCAGTAGCAGTCGGAGATCAGGTGCTTCTTGACACGCGCAACTTGAACCTGTCTCACCTACCATCCAAACTCCGGCCTCGCTTCTGTGGTCCATTTCTCGTGGAGGCACAGGTGACACCAGTTACATTCCGCTTGCGCTTACCAGATACGTGGAAGCTTCACAACGCTTTCCATGTTCAGCTACTGAAGCCCTACAAGGACCCCAACCAACAGTTCCAGGGACGGCAGCTACCGCCACCACCACCTGTTCTTGTGCAGGATGAACCAGAGTATGAGATCGAGCGCGTTCTCACTCATCGGCGCCGCGGCGGCAAGACCCTCGAGTTCCTGATCCGCTGGAAGGGATATGACCCCACTGAGGACAGTTGGGTTGCAGAAGCTGATATGGGCAACGCACGCCGTGCTCTCAAGGACTATCTTGTCAAGCAGGGTGTATCTCATGCCACCCAGCTTTGAGGGGGGGACGTGTGAGAGTACGACGGCTTATGCTTGTTATTCATGCTTGCTTTTATTACCTTACGCTACTGCTAGCTTAGGTTTAATTTCTGCATGCATGAATTGTTTGATTCCTAGGCTAGGTGCTTTCCTATATTTTATATAGTTATATGCACCGTGCTAGGTTACACCGAATTCGGAGCTATTCGGTTGCCACCGAACTGCTTTCTACCGAATTCGGGAAGGGTCTGTTCGGGACGCTTCGCGACCCGCAGAACCTTCTCGTAACACCTGGTTACCTCCCTTGTGTCGAGCCCTATATATAGCCTCGTGTTGTACCCAGGTGATCAATCAATTCTCATTCTCGATTCTGAACTCGATCCTCGATCCTCACATTTACTCTAAGAGAATATGAAGGAGCACGTGGAGCATCTGCGGAAAGTCTTCGAGATCCTGCGGAAAAACAAGTTCTACGTGAAGCTGTCGAAGAGCGACTTCGCCCTGAAGAAGGTGCAGTTTCTCGGGCACATGGTGAGTGCGGAGGGCGTACACGTGGACCCGCGGAAGATCGAAGCCGTCAAGAAGTGGAAAGTTCCGGAGAACGTGAAGGAGTTGCAGCACTTCCTAGGCTTCGCCAACTATTACAACAGGTACGCTAAGATAGCAGCGCCACTGACCAACCTACTGAAAAAGGATACGCCTTATAAAAGGGATACTCCTCAACAGCAAGCCATGGAGCAGCTACAGACTGCACTGACTACAGCGCCAGTACTCATCCTACCGGATCCAGATAGAGACTACGTGGTGGAAGTAGACGCTAGTGACCAAGCAGTCGGAGCAGTACTAATGCAGGATCACGGACGTGGTTTGCAACCCATCGCCTATCTCAGTAAGAAGCTACACGGAGCAGAACTGAATTACCCCATCCAAGACAAGGAAGCCTTAGCGATAGTCACAGCCTTTAAGGCGTGGAGGTGTTACCTAGAGGGAGCCAAGACTACAGTTTACACTGACCACTGTGTTGGGTGCAAATTCACTTTGCACGACATCCTGCCGTCTGTTTGTACGAGTATGCGTGTGCGAATGCATTTGCGTGCGAATGGTGTGTTTGTGTGTTTGTTTGCTTTCGCAATTTTCGCTTGAAGCATTTGCAGGTACTTGCGCAATGTGCGCTTCGGCACAACATTGTACCCGCTATGAACAGTGCAAGCAGAAAGGAAGAGCTCGCAAAGGAACCCAAGATGGAAGCTTTGCAGCCCGGTTCAATTTATTGCGCAGATTCAGTTCTATCCAACTTGAAATTGTACTGTTTTGTTTGGTTGACTATAGTGTAGCAGGGCAGGCACTATAGGGGTACAATTTAGGTGAAGGTTGGATGTTGTTTGTCTGTATCTGCATGCTACAAGGCCAGGGGAAACCAGCAGAACCAGCATTTGGCTGGTTGGGCAAAGACAAAACAGGTTCTGTTTTTTTAACCTGAACCTGGTTGTTGTTTTCCCAGGTTGGAAAAACAGAACCAGAGGTTGTTTTCCAACCTACCACCTGCTGTTTGTCCAGCCAGGTTGGTTCTGTTGCTTGGAATTATTTGGGATCATCCCTGGTTGTTCCCAGGTTGATTCCCAAGGCCCTTGCTAGCTATAGCTATTTATTCCTTCTCTGTTTGTACCTGGATATAGTCAATTGATTCAAGCGAATTCCTTCCTCGCTGGAATTTCGTTTCTGCGCTATTCGACGGCGGAATGCTACCCGAGTCAACGCTAGTATGCTAGCACTCCAACGCTAGGCAAACGCTGTCCGAGCCATAACTTAGTAATGGCAGAACTTTTCGCGAGGCAACTTGGCTCATTTTAAAGCTCTTGGAGCGAGCTTCGATATAGCAAATTCTCAGCTTAATCCGATCGACGGTCTGCACGGCACGCTGCGCGACGTTCAAGGTACTCTTGCTGTTTTGACTAAGTCCTCCTTGATCCCTCTCTCTACAAACTCGGACCCTGTTGGGTGCAAATGCACACTGCACGACATCCTGCCGTCTGTTTGTACGAGTATGCGTGTGCGAATGCATTTGCGTGTGAATGGTGTGTTCGTGTGTTTGTTTGCTTTCGCATTTTTCGCTTGATGCATTTGCAGGTACTCGCGCAATGTGCGCTTCGGCACAACATTGTACGCGCTATGAACAGTGCAAGCAGAAAGGACGAGCTCGCAAAGGAACCCAAGATGGAAGCTTTGCAGCCCGGTTCAATTTATTGCGCAGATTCAGTTCTATCCAACTTGAAATTGTACTGTTTTGTTTGGTTGACTATAGTGTAGCAGGGCAGGCACTATAGGGGTACAATTTAGGTGAAGGTTGGATGTTGTTTGTCTGTATCTGCATGCTACAAGGCCAGGGGAAACCAGCGGAACCAGCATTTGGCTGGTTGGGCAAAGACAAAACAGGTTCTGTTTTTAGAACCTGAACCTGGTTGTTGTTTTCCCAGGTTGGAAAAACAGAACCAGAGGTTGTTTACCAACCTACCACCTGCTATTTTGTCCAGCCAGGTTGGTTCTGTTGCTTGGAATTATTTGGGATCATCCCTGGTTGTTCCCAGGTTGATTCCCAAGGTCCTTGCTAGCTAGAACTATTTAATCCTTCTCTGTTTGTACCTGAATATAGTAAAATTGATTCAAGCGAATTCCTTCCTCGCTGGAATTTCGTTTCTGCGCTATTCGACGGCGGAATGCTACCCGAATCAACGCTAGTATGCTAGCACTCCAACGCTAGGCAAACGCTCTCCGAGCCATAACTTAGTAATGGCAGAACTTTTCGCGAGGCAACTTGGCTCATTTTAAAGCTCTTGGAGCGAGCTTCGATATAGCGAATTCTCAGCTTAATCCGATCGACGGTCTGCACGGCACGCTGCGCGACGTTCAAGGTACTCTTGCTGTTTTGACTAAGTCCTTCTTGATCCCTCTCTCTACAAACTCGGACCCGAGGATAGGGGCTGGTCTTGTACCAGGCACCCAGGGACCCTTGGAGGTGACCCCGAGGAGAGGTTTTAAGTTTGATTAAGTCCTAATAGCTTGAGTTTATTAGGCCCTTACACCAACAAGCTGGTATCAGAGCTGCGTTATAGTGATCCTCGTTATAGGTAGCTATGGCGGGCAACACCTCGGCGGGAGCTGGTGAATCTTCAGCCCAAGATCGTAGCGGCAGCCAAGATTCTGGTCTTTCAGCGCCAAGGGGAGCGCGAACAAACCAGGGCTCGCTTGTCAAGGAGGTGCTGAAGAATTTCACCGTCGAGAAGTTCAATGGTGAGGGCTATGATGATTGGGCCTGGAAAATGCAATTATATTTCCGTCAGATCGGTTTGCTGAAACTAATGATTGGGGAGGAGCCTAGACCGAGTGACCCCACGCTGCAGGAAGATTGGGACGAGCGCTCCTCGGCTGGCTACTATTTGATGTCACAGAGTTTGGAGCTGAACCAGCGTCACCACGTCATGCACCTGCTGCCGGAGGTTGAATGCGGTCCGAAGGCGTGGACCGTGTTGAAGGAGCTGCACGCCCCGACCTCCGTTGTCGCAACGTTGATGCTGGAGAGGGAGCTGTCCGCGTTGCGCCTGAGCGAGGGAGAGCCGGTGCAACCAGTCCTGGACAAGATGCGCGACCTCTACGCGAAGTTGGCGACCGCGGGAATCACCTACCCGGAGCAGACCAAGTGCTTGAAGATGCTCTCGCTGCTGCCAGAATCGTGGCTTCAATTTACGAGCGGATTGAGTCTGCCGCAGAACCAGAGCTTGTGGACGCTCGAGTGGGTGCGGACGAAGATTCTGGAGGAGGACTTCCGTCGCCGCCAACTGAGGGGTGGAGACGACGGCAGCAGCGGCTACGGGATGCAAGGGAGCCGACGTGGCAGAGGACGTGGCTTCGGTGGTGCTGGACGCGGTGCAAAGAAGGACGACGACTCCAACGACCAACAAGGAGGTACCGGTTGGGGTCGCGGTGCGAAATCTGGACGTGGGGGCAAGTCGGGTGCTGGTGGCAAAATGAAAGGGAGTTGCTGGTATTGTGAGAAGGAAGGGCACCCCTGGTTTTTGTGCTATAAGAAACCCGATGGATGGACCCCCCAGAATCGTCACCAGGATGGCGGCGCGCGGAGGAACCAGAAAAACGGCGCCAACATGGTCGCTGATTCGTCCGACAACAACCCGAAGGGCAACGGCGGTGCGGAGAAGAAGAAGGAGCGCACCGCGGGCCAATTCTTCCATGTGGGAGACAAGGGGGAGCAAGGAGACGCCTCTGGAGCAGAGCTGCACCCCCTGGACTATTGGGTGTTGGACACAGGCGCTGCTTGGACGATGACGCCGCGCAAGGACCTGCTGGACGAAGTACGAGCTGCACCGATCAATGAAGTGTGCTCCGCCTCTGGACACATGTTGAAGGTGGCTGGTGCGGGACGAGCTGCGTTTAAGGGAGCGGATGGCAAGCCGGTGGTGCTGCACGACGTTCTCTTCGTCCCCGACCTGAAGGCCAACCTTATCTCCCTCCGTAAGCTTGGCAAGGCTGGGGTGAACACCAACACGGATGGGGCACGCACTTATAAGGGGAAGCTGGGCAATCGGGTGCTTTGGGATCTGCACGAGAGCAAGGACGTGTACAGATCTATGTGGCAGCTGCCGGCCCTGGCGTGGCATGGTGGGGGGCAGGCTGGAGAGGGGTCTGCATCCCAGGGGGAGTGCAATGCCGTTGGAGGGGTTGGTGTGAAAGTGTCGGCCAGATCTGGGGAGACAGATTGGGCAACGGCACACCGGCGCTTAGGCATGTGGCAATGCCTTTGCTGAAGCAGCTGGAGAAGGATGGAGCCGTTAAGGGTCTGAAGCTGAACGGACAGCCACCCGATGACAACTGTGAAATCTGTTTGCTTTCAAAGTTCACCCGTTTCCCTTTCCATAGTGTGGCTGGCAGGAGCAAGAAGCCTTTGGAGCTGGTCCACATGGACTTGGTGGGGCCGCTGCCGGTGCAAGGGCACAAGGGGGAGCGGTATT